ACACTACACTGCTATAGTTATTTTACATAAAAAGAGCAGAAGGAAAATATATCGAGATTCATCAAATCCTGTTTTTGAGTGTTTGGTGTTAAAATTGTATGTTATAGTGGATTATACTATTTATCATACATTGTATAGGTAAATTGCAAAACATTAGCACCAAACATCTAAGAGAACTTTGGGGAAAAAAAGACAAAGTCAGTACAATCTGTAAGTAACTGACATCTTTAATAAAAATATATTCAGAACTAAAGTCTTGGGAAGAATGGTCTCAGTGGAAGGAATCAGGAACTTGTGGAACTTAACAAAGATATTAAAGAGTCAAAAAAAGTCAGGTTTTTTAAGAAACAACAAAACTACTATACTCAATAAATATGAGAGTGTTACATAATAAGAAAATCTGGATTTTAATTAATGGTTTGTGTTTTGGTAAAATGTTGTACATAATGTTTAATTAATGGTTTGTGTTTTGGTAAAAGTTTAAGTCCCCCTGGACTGCCACCTTAACGTGGTGGGGGAGTTTGAGTACTCGGATGATCCTGGGAGCTATGCTGTCTGGGGCTTCATGCCCCTGGTAGGGTCTCCCATGGCAGACAGGTCTCGGGTGACGAGTCAGACAAAGAGCAGTCCAGAAGACACCATGGACAGCACTCATACGAAACCAGTGACGTCGCCCGGCATGGCGCAGCCGGGGCCCCACCCTGGAGCCAGGCCTGGGGTCGGGGCTCGTAGGCGAGCGCCTGGTGGCCGGGCCTTAGCCCACGGGGCCCGGCCGGGCTCAGCCCGAATGGACGACGTGGGCAGTCCCTCCTGTGGGCCCACCACCTGCAGAGGGGTCCGTGGTGGCATGGTGCAGAGAGGACTGGGCAGCAGTCGAAGGCGGAGACCTCGACGACCCAGTCCGCACACACAACAGCTGGCTCTCGGGACGTGGAACGTCACCTCACTGGGGGGGAAGGAGCCCGAGCTTGTGGGGGAGGTTGAGCGATACCGACTAGAGATAGTCGGCCTCACCTCCACACACAGCTTGGGCTCTGGAACCCAACTCCTTGAGAGGGGTTGGACGCTCCACTTTTCTGGTGTTTCCCGCGGGGAGAGGCGGCGAGCTGGGGTGGCCATTCTCATTGCCCCCCATCTCAGCCGCCACGTGTTGGAGTTCTCCCCGGTGAATGAGAGGGTCGCGTCCCTCCGCCTCCGGGTGGGGGACAAGTCTCTCACTGTTGTGACGGCCTACGGGCCTAACAGCAGTGCAGAGTACCCGGCCTTCTTGGAGTCCTTGGGAGGGGTACTGGACGGTGCACCGCCCGGGGACTCCGTTATTCTCCTGGGGGACTTCAACGCCCATGTGGGAAACGCCAGTGACACTTGGAGAGGGGTGATCGGGAAGAGCGGCCCCCCTGATCTGAACCCGAGCGGTGTTCAGTTGTTGGACTTCTGTGCCAGTCACAGTTTGTCCATCACGAACACCATGTTCGAGCACAAGGGTGTCCACCAGTGCACGTGGCACCAGGACACCCTAGGCCGGAGGTCGATGATCGACTTTGTTGTCGTATCATCTGACCTTCGACCGCGTGTCTCGGACACTCGGGTAAAGAGAGGGGCGGAGCTGTCAACCGATCATCACCTGGTCGTGAGTTGGATCCGCTGGCAGGGGAAGAAGCCGGTCAGACCTGGCAGACCCAAGCGTATAGTGAGGGTCTGCTGGGAACGTCTCGCTGAGCCCCCTGTCAGACGGACTTTCAACTCACACCTCCGGGAGAGTTTCTCCCAGGTCCCGGTGGAGGAGGGGGACATGGAGTCCGAGTGGACCATGTTCTCTGCCTCAATCGCCGATGCGGCGGCCCGTAGCTGTGGTCGCAAGGTCTCTGGTGCTGGTCCCGGCGGCAACCCCCGAACCCGGTGGTGGACACCGGCAGTAAGGGAAGCTGTCAGGCTGAAGAAGGAGTCCTATCGAGCCATGATGGTTCGGGGGACTCCTGAGGCAGCTGTCCAGTACCGGCAGGCCAAGTGTGCCGCGGCCCGGGCTGTTGCAGAGGCAAAAACCCGGGACTGGGAGGAGTTCGGAGAGTCCATGGAGCATGACTATCGGTCGGCCTCAAAGAAATTCTGGCAAACCGTCCGGCGCCTCAGGAGGGGGAAGCAGTTCTTTGCCAACACCATGTACGGTGCGGGTGGAGAGCTGCTGACCTCGACGGGGGATATTGTCGGGCGGTGGAAGGAATACTTTGAGGTTCTCCTCAATCCCCCCGTCACGTCCTCTGTCTCAGAGGCAGAGGCTGAGGATGCTGGGGCGGATACATCCATCTCCCTGGCTGAGGTCACCAAGGTGGTTGGTAGCCTCCATGGTGGCAAGGCTCCGGGTGTGGATGAGATCCGCCCTGATTATCTAAAGTCTCTGGATGTTGTAGGACTGTCTTGGCTGACACGTCTCTGCAACATCGCGTGGCGATCGGGGGCGGTGCCAATGGAGTGGCGGACCGGGGTGGTGGTCCCTCTCTATAAGAAGGGGGACCGGAGGGTGTGTTCCAATTATCGTGGGATCACACTCCTCAGCCTCCCCGGTAAGGTCTACTCCAAGGTACTGGAGAGGAGGCTACGGCCGATGGTCGAATCTCGGATCCAGGAGGAGCAGTGTGGTTTTCGTCCCGGTCGCGGAACACTGGACCAGCTCTATACTCTCCATCGGATACTCGAGGGTTCATGGGAGTTCGCCCAACCTGTCCACATGTGCTTTGTGGATTTGGAGAAGGCGTTCGACTGTGTTCCCCGGGGTGTCCTTTGGGGGGTTCTCCGGGAGTACGGGGTCGGGGGTCCTCTGCTGAGGGCCATCCGGTCCCTGTATGACCGGAGCCAGAGCTGTGTTCGCATTGCCGGCAGTAAGTCAGACCTGTTCCCGGTGAATGTTGCCCTCCGACAGGGCTGCCCTTTGTCACCGGTTCTGTTCACTGTATTTATGGACAGAATATCTAGGCGCAGCCAGGGGTCGGAGGGGGTCCGGTTCGGGGACCACAAGATTTCATCTCTGCTGTTTGCGGACGATGTTGTCCTGTTGGCTCCAACGAACCAGGACCTGCAGCATTCACTAGGACGGTTTGCAGCCGAGTGTGAAGCGGCTGGGATGAGAATCAGCACCTCCAAATCTGAGGCCATGGTGCTCGACCGGAAAAAGGTGCCCTGCCCTCTTCAGGTGGGTGGAGAGGTCCTTCCTCAAGTGGAGGAGTTCAAGTATCTCGGGGTCTTGTTCACGAGTGAGGGAAGAATGGAGCGTGAGATTGACAGGCGGATCGGTGCAGCGTGCGCAGTGATGCGGTCGCTGTATCGGACCGTTGTGGTAAAGAGGGAGCTGAGCCGAAAGGCAAAGCTCTCGATTTACCGGTCAATCTTTGTTCCCTCCCTCACCTATGGTCATGAGCTTTGGGTAATGACCGAAAGAACGAGATCGCGGATACAAGCGGTCGAAATGAGCTTCCTCCGCAGAGTGGCTGGGCGCTCCCTTAGAGATAGGGTGAGGAGCTCAGTCACACGGGAGGAGCTCGGAGTAGAGCCGCTGCTTCTCCACGTCGAGAGGAACCAGTTGAGGTGGCTCGGGCATCTGTTCCGGATGCCTCCTGGACGCCTCCCTGGGGAGGTGTTCCGGGCACGTCCCACCGGGAGGAGGCCCCGCGGAAGACCTAGGACACGCTGGAGGGACTATGTCTCTCAGCTGGCCTGGGAACGCCTTGGGGTCCCCCCGGACGAGCTGGAGGAGGTGTGTGTGGATAGGGAAGTCTGGGCGTCTCTGCTTAGACTGCTGCCCCCGCGACCCGGCAACGGATAAAGCGGAAGAAAATGGATGGATGGATGGATGGTTCAGTATATACATGATTATGGATATAGGTTCAGTATATACATGATTATGGATATAGGTTCAGT